TTATCGTTGTTCTATTTTTAAATTAAATTTTACTGTTATTATAGGTAATATTATTATTATTACTAAAATATAAACAAAATTTTATTTTTGTTCATGATTTGCAATTAAAATTTTATTATTTCATAATAATTAAGTCTTTTACGTTAATTTATTTATACTATTTTACAACACGATGTTCAAAAGCCGTACTTTAAAATTACTTAAAAATGTGGATATGGAAATGAAATAAAGTTGCACATTAATAGTTTTCTAGTTATTGAGAGCTATTACACCCGTAAATCTAGTAAACGTCTATATTTAAATGAAAAACTATCAATATCAAAAATGTATGTAACTATTCACAGATAAATATAAAATTGATCATCTACATAATATTAACAAGATATCATCAAAGGCCGTATACAGAAGTATATTATACTCTTGTTACAATTTTTCTTTCCAAAAAAAGACCAATGTGTTTCTTATGTTGTTTATAAAACTGCAAGTGAAGAAAATAAAAAAAATTAGAATATAGTCACCATAATCATTTGGAAAGAATGTACCAATCCATTTCTAAGGATATTGATAGTACAATAGACAAAAAGGACAGCAGTTTTGTAGTTACTAGTTTTGACTCACAAACTACACTTCAAATTCTTTGCTCTGATGAGTCATTTATGTATTACAGTAGAAAATTGAATATGTTCAATCTAACAGTATATGAAGTTGCTCCTCCACAGAAAGCCTTTTGTTATACACGGACCGAAATCAACGGTAAACGGGGAAGTTCAGAGATTGGTTCCTGTCTTTTTAAGTGTATTCAAACATTACCCACTGAAGTAAAAAATATAACATTATATTCAGATTCATGTGGTGGCCAGAATATAAATCAAAATGTCATGGCACTAATGATTTATATTATAACAAACATCAATCAAATAGAGCATAAATTCATGGAGAGTAGTCACTTAATTATAGAGGTTGATTCCATGCACAGTGCTATTAAAAATGCCAAAAGAAATGTTCCAATATATTGTTCAAGATTGGTTAACTTTTTTCCAAGTTGCAAGATCAACACGAAATAGAAATAAATCTTAGCCAATATATGAAGTAAAGGAAATGTATTTCAGGGATTTTAAAAACTTACAACAACTATCTTATTCAATCATTAAAAATAAAAAAAATTGACACTGAAGGAAATATTACGAACTAATTGAAAGTTAAATGTTTTGAATATAAAAAAAAAAATCCATACATTGTTGGATATAAATATGATTATTTTAGTGAATATCAATTTATTAATGTTTGAAGAAAAAATGTTAAAAATATAAAGACGAATAGTAGCAAAATTTCATCAACCAATATTAGTTATTTAGATCTTCATTGTTTGTATTCAAAACCAATAGCAATAAGCCATGAAAAGCCTTCTCCAACTATGTGAATAGAATGTAACATCAGAGAAGTTTCACATTTTGTTTAAAAGTTTGCCAAGTATTGCGCTTAAAAAAGATAAAGATCCAAAACCAGGAGTATCTGATTCAGAGGAAGATGAAAATTACTCATTTTATTATTATCATTTATATATTATTAGCATATTATTATGTTAAAAGTTTTAAATTACTGTTATTATTACTGTTATATTTACAGTTTTCCCGTTTATAAATATATTGAGTATACCTTCCATAGTATCTATAAATGTAATTAAAGCTTAAGAAATTAAATTATTTTCCATTTTATGTTTTTCCTATACGTTATTGCACATTATTCTACTGATGTATAAATGATACATTTATTTATTATATACAATTATTCAATTATTAGATTTTTTTAACCGTCACCCGGCAGCGACGAGTAATTTAGCTAGTATGTTAGTATATTAGAATATTATATTTTAGGAATATTATTGTAATATTCTATCCATTCTATTGATTATTATTTATTATATTATGTATAATAATTTAGTCCATTGATAATAAATTATTTTTATTGTCAGTCGCCGTTCGTAATTATTATTTATTTAGAATTTAGATATTAATAGTATCAGAATACGATTTAAAATGAAACAGCTACTGTTACGTGCCACCGGCTCGATTTCAAGTGTTGCAAGTCGAAGATATGTTTAATTTAAATAAACATGAGACTTTTAATACATTAATACATTTATTTTAATACTCAAAGTGTTAACAAAATTCTAATACAAAGTGACGTGAAGTTGCTTGTTGTTCCGTGACTAGAACTCATCTGAATTATGGTCATTTTGGTCCCTCTTTTATATGGATTGATTGACGTCATTGGACTTGTTGTTTCGGCATTTATTCCTTATTTAGCAATAGGCCATTGTTCGTTTGACCTACTTCATTAATCTGTAGATTACATATTTTAATGTATATCACTGGTTTATGTCCAATTAATTAAATGTAGTTTAAATGTGTTTCTAGGAATATAGATTACATATTTTAATATATATTACTAGTTTAACTTAATCAAATATAGGTGTGCAATACCTGTGATATTGTGTTACGCACAATTCTAATTATACATGTTTCTAGGAATATGTGATAGCCCACAACACTACTAAATATTTGGGGAGGGGCGCATATTTGTATATTCGTCCAGGGCGTCAATGCATAGGCACACATTCAGTATAAAACGGGAGTGCTAAAATTATCCACCCCAAGGTGATCCGTGAGGAGCCTCAGAGCCTCCTACTTGGCACAAAATGTTTTAGTTTTACCATTTAATTATAAATGTAGCAATTTTCTATGATATCCGAAAAAAATAGCAAAACAATAATCGAGAATGTACAAATCGCGAATTACCATAATAATGACAAAAATAAAAACCTCGAAAATATATAATATCGAAAATGTACGATTAGACAATTAGAGATAATAATTTTGAAAAAAAAATTAGGCATTTAATTAAAAATGATATGCTATTCCATTTAAAAAGTTAATAAGAACTAGTATTATAATTTTAAATTATCTAATGAAGTTTTTTAGCACAATCCTTGTACTTTTTTTTATCTCTGGTTGTTCTCCAACATTATACTGTTATCGTTTTAATTCTTCTAAATTTTGAATTTTCTTTATTACATTAATAGATTTCCTTATAGTAATACATCGTTTAGTGATTTCGATTTTCAGTTGTCTATCTTATATTTAATAAATGTATTACTCGTATAATAATATTATGGTAGCTAGCAAATAGTATTTATAAATATTGATTAAATGTTCTGGCTAAATAAAAAATTTACCATTTTGTTATTTTTACATTTGTTAGATCCGAGCAGTAAATTTATTTTCTTCCTCCGATGTGGTAGTATTTTTTTGTATTGTAAAAGTAATTTAAAGTAATTTCGTACGCATAATATTACATTAGGATTTAAAATATTTTTCAATTTTTATTGTGTTTATATATTTTTTTTTATGATGTTTATTTTTTAAGTGCGAAATAGTGTTTATTAATTAGGCCTATTTGGGGAAAAAATGTTAAAAAAATGCAATTAGTCTAGACGTGGTCGTACCTAAATTGTATAGATCTTCAATTAGATATCTATATATGCAAGTAAACAAATAACAATTTAACAAATATAAATTATTGGGTGTATACGATATTAACTGATAACTTAAAACTAATATTATTCAATGATCAGATAAAGATTTATCTAAGAATAAAATTAAAACAATAATTTAAAATTTTTAGTTGATTAAACAAATTCGTTAAAAATATAATTATGTTTGAATGGTTTCTATGGTATACGATAGTCCCACAATAATGCTATAAATGTTAATCAGGGAACTAAAGTATCTAGTGCAAAAATGGCTATATGCTCTTTTGTAATACGATTTTTTGATAGAAGTACTTTAAATTTTCCATAAACCCTTTAATTAAGGAAAATACGTGTATTTATAGTTTTTTTTTTTTTTTGTTAACTTTCACTTGTCTATTTCAATTTTTTATTCATTGTTATCAGTTTATTAATATAACTAATCAATTTGGGAGTAATGTATAGTGTTTGTACATCTTATTTTGTATTTCTTAAAAAATGAATTAAATTATAAATTTAGTTTTAAATATGTACTTTTATATTGACAAAATATAGCTTATTCAAAAAAAGTGTAGTTCATAGTATTATGAATTATGGCAGGAAACTCGTATTACTATCGATTTTATTTGTTGTAAATATTTAACAATATGACAAGTATAAGCTGAAATCAATGAGTCATTGTTTGGTTCCATTATTGAGAGTTTATCTTATTTTATATACTTGTATATATATATATATGTATTATTTTCTACTTGTGAAATGATAGCATTCAATTAGTTCGAATATTTGTTTTTAACGAATATTTGTGCTCAACAGCTATATTATAAAAGTGCATAATGCAAATAATTTTGAAAGCAATAAACATTATATGAGTATACAAATATAAATAAACATATTTAGTAGAAAATAAAAGTACATAGCTTGATTTTTCTCGGTACAATATTGTAACTTTAACATTTGTAAGACTGTGACTTTATGTACTTTAATTATTCGTAATTTTTGAATTTTCATACAATGTGAATTTAATTATATGGGTATACTGACAAATTCAACACAAATTTTTCGAACAATAATTAATAACTAACTTTATTGTTTTTATTTATTTTCTTTAAACATAAAAACAATAAAGTTAATATAATTAATTTTACAATTAGAGGGCTTTTAGATGACCCATCTGGTAAGTTTCACATTTTTATACATTTAAAGTGCCATACTTCACAACATAAAACTATGTTTCTCATTAATATTTGGTTGTATTTGTATATAATGTATACGTTTTCATAGAAATACCACAATGAGTTCGGAACTCTTATAAACGATACACTAAAGAGGCATAATTTTTACAGACAAAAACACAATGTACCGGCATTGAGAATCAATTCAAAGGTACATAATATTGCTTTACAACTGTAATAACACTTATGATTATGCGTATCATATAATTTGGTTTGATATTAATAATATGTGTACTGTGTGGTTTGAATGCCAATAATATGTATTCATTGACATTTTATAGGTTCAGAACGAAATAAACATTTTATTGGCACTATCACGGTGATAAGTTTTTCTTATGATTATTTTTCATTGAATACAATTGTTCTAATAGTTTCGAATATCCTCTAAAATTATCCGTCTTGCGAATTTCTCAGCTGTATACTTTGCAGTATACCAACGGCGTATACAATTTGTAAAACCTACAAATATGAATTCCTTCAAATTAATTTTGTTTTTCGTTTCTACTCTTGTCGAAATAAGTAATTTCATGGTGATTACAAGATTGTACTACACAATTATTTTACTACGAGTATGTCTAGAAATATTTTATGTACTTAGCAGAAGTTGTGCAATATTTGTGTTGTATGTAAATTTACATAATAATATATAAATTAAAATTTTATATTTTTGACCATTAAAATTGTATTGATTTATACTGATGAATGATTTTTATTTTTTATAATTTGCATACCTATTTATTTTTCCCTAGGTGTGTTAAAATTGTATAGAGACACTGTGTTTTCATGTTTAATTATTATTAATATAATATTGTTTGAAACACTATTCAGAGCGCGAGTAAATTTGAATGAAATTTAGGATTTCATTTTCTAATATTTATGAACAATAATATAATTTTGTATTAAATTTTTTAGTTGAACGCTATATGTCAAGATTGGGCCGATAAGATGGTGAAACAAAACAAAGCATCTCATCGTTTTAACAATGAATATGGTGAAAATATTTACACTATACTGTCAATACTGTCAACGAACAAAGTAACTGAATTGGGTGTTAAAGCAGTTGATAGTTGGTACAGTGAAATAGAATTTTTTGATTTTCAAGGAACGAACACGGAAATGGATGCTTCTACAAAAGCCTGTAATTTATTTGAAATATCATTAGTAATAATAATGTTATTATGATTCAGAAACGTTGATTTTTTTTTGGGGGTTTTTAGATCATTCTTTCTAGATGTTACACTGTTCAAATTTATGAATTAATATTTTTTTATGAATCTTATTTATGAATATTTATTGTAAGATAAAGATATAGTCTGAATTATAATAATTAAAAACAGCTAAATCTATTTTATTCAAAATAATTAAAATTAAAATAAAAATATGTAATACGACATATTTGTTTATGTATTTATGTTAGGTTTAAATGTTATTTTTATAATATGTATTTTTAACACACTATAAAAATTAAATTTACTTATAATACGGTTTATGGAAATTTAACAAAAACCTAACTGTTTTATTGTTAAATTCAAATAATGATTGAATTGAATAAACTAATCAGATATTCATCAATATTTTCAGTTCACTTCACTCAGCTGATATGGAAAGGTAGTAGAGAGCTAGGCGTTGGTGTGTCCAAATGTTCTAAAAGTGGTCAAATTTATTTAGTGTGCAATTACAATCCACGGGGAAACTTCAGATCGCAGTTCAAAGAAAACGTATTGCCACCCCACGAATTATGACTTTAATTGAAACTTTATGGAATCGATTTCGATAATGCTACGTCAATAATACGTTTCACAGCTAAATCGTCTTATGCATGGATAAATAATGTAAAACGTGATACAATGATATTATTTGAATTTATTTTTATTATTTCATATTTTAATAATTATTTAATATAGATAATTTTACACTAATAAGGCTTTTAGTTATACATGAATACAAAAGATACAAGAGTTTTAGAGTAAGATAATAAGTCTCTATTCTTTATCATTGTTCCCATAGTTGAACAATATCGCATGTACCAAAATTTCAGCGTGTGATATTGTGTACTCGTAGTATAAGAAAATAATACTATCACATTAACACAGTTACATAAATTAATAATAATATACGACAATGGTCTATGACTTAAAATATACATTTACAGTTACAAATATAAATGTCGGTTCCGGTTAATTTTTGGTTTTCATCTATTATAATCATATAAATGTATAATATATATAATCTGAATGCAACATATATTATATATACCTGTATAGAAACTAAAGTCTAGACAGTTATTAATTTTTCCATCACAGCGATGTTCTATACAAAATGTCTACATTTTAGTTAGTATAATATATCGATTAAGAGTTCATTAGCTGATAATATTTAACGTTTTTAATAAAAAAAAAAAAAATAAATAAAATAATAATCAATAAAGGAAAAACAAAATACACATTTCTCCGTTCAACGTAGACCCCTTTAGCCTTTTATAAAATCACAAATGATCCCAGTTGCGAATGCATTCATTAAAATGACGCGAGAACGAACATTGCAAATAATTTTGTTAGACGTAACATATTTTGATACATATTAACAGTATAAACAAAATTAGGCACGATCTACTTAACGATATAAATAAATACATTTAAGCGTGCACAAGTAAGAAAATATGTATATATATAAAAGAAATATATTTTATAATATCTGAGTTTATAACAATTAACATAATTTTAGGACAACATAGGAGGGCATCGCTGACTCATGTAAATGTACAAATGTATCTCATGAGTTCTAAGGAAACTCGTGACTCGTTTTTTATTTCTATGTTTTACGCATTCCCTTGAATGGGTTATAGTTTTAGTGATCATTCCACCTAAATGTGTTATATAATCCATTTATGTTACATTAAAATATTATATTATAATTTTTAATGATTTTTTATTTTTCCTGTACCACATCACGGGGGTTCTAACACCGTCAATATACATTTTAAAACTTTTAATTACTCCTATATTTAATTAAAATAGATCTATGTTCATACACTGATAATTTTAAAATATATATAACATTTTATATAACATTTAAACTAAACAGCAAACGATATTTATAAAAGAATAAAAACCATCTTTTTTATCATTCACATTGTTTCCTCTAGAAGGTATCAAGTTATTTAATAATTTATTTTGGTAATGGTATAATAACTAATTTTCTATGATCCTATCTCTTTTACATTATTTTTTCTTGTTTATAGAAAAATAGAATAACAAGGAAAGTAATTTTTTTAATTTATGAGCTATGTTTGCAAATCTGTAAGTTTACTGGAAATTCAGAATCGAAAATGAATTGTAAACATTTCAATGATTCTTCTGACTACATAGTCGTTGCGTTGTAACATCAGTTATCACGAAAAGTTTTTAAGAGTAAACGGCTACTAATTTCGATCAATAAACTATGTGCATAAAATTATCATCTAAATGTATTGTACAATATTAACAATGATATGGTGGATGGTCACTTATTATAGAATACAAAAGCGAACCGCCGAAAAACGTCAGTTTGAAATAGATTGTTTTTAATGATATGTGTATTTTGGTTGCATATTTTATTGTTTTTCCTCATATTTTATTTTATGATGAATACCATGCCTTCGGGAAACGTGAGGGTTTGGAAATGGACTTCAATTGTCGGTGAATAAAATTTGATTTCAAAATTCACACTAATAATTCGTTAATGTCACGAAAAAAATGAGGCAATTTTCTTGTAACTAAAACAATATTTCATAGAAAATAGAGTAAAACTGTTATCATTTACGTTTCAGGAAGTGTTAATTGTTTTTCGAAAATCATACATGGGCTAAGTATGATGTTTTCGAGAAATACGTCATGTGACCCATGGGTTGCGAATTATACAGGGCTTAACGTATAAATATAATGCATAAACAACAGTGTTTTTTTGTATTTCATCGCTCGATAGAAATATTATAATATCAAATGAATCCTTATCAGTATCCAGAGTGAGAGAAAGAGAGAAAACATTTCGAATGATATATTTCGTTTCACCTCCACGAACAATGTTCAATTGCTCGTATGAGCAAATGTAAGTATGTGGTTATCCACTATCCATTCACGAGTCCTACGATGTACCGACAGCTCCATAATTGTCCTTTAAAATACTACATACTTTTATCGACGCCCCAGTCATGTACAGTGATATATAATGACCAAATTGAAATTGTATAAACGCTTTACAATTTATTGGGACGGAAAGATGGAGAACATTTAGAACACCATTCTCACGTTGGTGTTTACAGCTTTAGACTAGAGATCTTTTGCAGTAGTATAATTTTCGTAAATATCAAATTATTTGGGAAACTAAAAATAAAGTCCAAATCTATATCACTTCGGTAATTATTTGCAATAGTTTTGAATGCATTTTAAAATGTAAATGTTTGGACAAAATATTCACGGTGTTTTTTGGTTCTTGATACAAGTTACATTTCAAAATGGGTTTCAACGAACTTATCAAATGGCTACGAAAGGTGAGTACTGGTGGTACACAATTATTACTATATTAATTTTATTCAAATACATTTCAAGTATAAAATAATATGCAATCGCTCGAATGATAACAGTATCAAATTGAGGCGTCGATAAATTATTCATATTTTCGTGTTGTACGCGTACAATTTTTATTTATTTATTTAATTATTTTTTGGCACTTATTTTCCGCCCTCCCCACTTACTGGTAAACTGTTTGTAGAAAAAATTTTATAGAAAATCTAAATTCGACGGCGCGTGATGAGTCGTGTGCAACGTCGGGCGGAGACGCAATAGTCTTAAGACTCGTGACGTTTCGTCGCGGACGCGTTTATTATATTATATATATTTTTCTAATTTAACTAAATTTATACACATATCATCTAAACATGTATTGTATAATATATATACATACATAATCGACACACATTGAATATTTGTGGGTTCGCACCTCGTGTGTTAAGGGTCGGTAACAGAATATTTTCGACACACATTGCGAACTTTGCCACGAGGCAAAACTGAAGCGATATCGAAGCGAAAAGCTATGTTGTGTTGTCGTGTTCTCGGTCGAATGCCGTAAACCGACTTTCGGTTCGGACAATATGTATCGTATTGTCAATGCTAATAATGTTAACGATGACGATGATGGTGTTGGTGGTGGTCGTCGTGTTTCTCGTAATGAACGTGAAACGACGGGGCGAGCAGAACAGATGTGGAAGCAATCGAGAAGAACTTGTACACGCGCATGTGCATGTGTGAGACAAGTGTTCACAGCCACTTGTTGCGAGCATTGTTGCTCTTCCGTTTGCCCCACATCAGGTTGTATCATACGATCGTGCCCTGCAGTTGTTCCTGTGACGAGTGCGGCGACATGGCCGGCGACGCGGTCGTCATCGGATGGTGCAAGGATGGCACTGTCATCAGGCTTGTGTTGCTGGATATCCCTGGCGAGGACACTTCTTCCGGCGGCGTCACCTCCAGACCGATGCTGCCGTTCAGAGCGATCTTTATTGCGCTGCCGCTCATCTCGTTACTCGGATGAAGCTGCGAACAGACGTGGCGTCGACAACGATCAGTGAAATAACTAGTGAAATAGACCCCGTTGGCCGGATGGGTCGGCACGGGAGGGGTGGGTAAGAGAGAGGAAAAATAAAATAATAATCCGAAGCCGGTAGCAGATCATCGTTCACGGGCAAGAAATCCGAACTAAAAATGAACAATAGAGAGAGAGAGAGAGAGAGAGAGAGAGAGAGAGATAGGTTTTACGAGAGGTTAACCTAACATTTTGTCAGTAGGTTAACCTAACCTACTGACAAAATGTTAATTCTCTGTAGCTCTATACAATGTAGCTGAGTCTGTGATGTAAACGTTTCCAAAAATACATTCCCTTTTTCGAATACGAAAGTTGATAAGTTAATTTGAATGTAACTATGTGATTCTGACAAAATATATAAGTACTTTGTTCATTAAACCAAAACCTGCAAATCATTTTCCTAATTTTCCATAAGCTAAATACTTAGGTATTTATTTTATTAATTTTCACTAGCTACAGGTACATAAGTTTCTGTAGTCGTATATCGCTTTTAAATATATTCTATTTTAAGGGAGGACCCTCTGAATATCCGCCGAGGGATACAATACACTCCTTCTACCCTCGAGGTCGTGCCACTGCTGTACAACGAATTGTAATAATATTACGTCCAATAAGCATACCTATGAAATCCGTGTTGGTATGGATAATTCTGCGTTTGTTTCGTATTTTCAAACCATGTGGATTTAAATATAAATGTACTGTGGTGACGTAAACAACGCACCGCGTATCGTCCAAGTTGTTTACAATATTGTCAGTGGATAAGGGGAAATCCCATGTTCTAGAATATGCGATGATTATCTCGTTAAGGTAATTTCGAGAATGTTCTAGACAATCGACGCTGATATACCGGCTGGTCAGACGCTCATTCAGTCAGTCCGTGAGTACAATCCGCGACACACCGTGAATTATAATCCGCGATATATTCGGCAATTCCTCCGCAATTGTAACGCGTATCGATATTTGTACATACATATTTATATAATATAGTGTCTATTTTAATTAAATTAAATTGTGAGTAATTTTTATTACTTAAATCCCACAAATTGGTGACCTCAACGTGATGGCAGAAACAGACGCAACGATTGCTCGAGTGGCCGTCAAAATACCGGATTTCATTTCGTCAGATCCCAAACTTTGGTTTGCTATGGTCAAAGGTAGTTTCGCCAGCGCGGGAGTCACAGCTGACAGCACGAAATTCGGGTATGTGGTTGGAGCATTACCGCCGAAATATGCAGTTGAAGTCAAAGACATAATTATGACGCCGCCCTCGGACAGTAAGTATGTCAAAATTATAGATGAATTAATAAAACGTCTTAGTGCCTCCCAAGAGGAAAAAACACGTCAACTTCTGGAGCGCGTTGAGATTGGTGACCGTAAACCGTCACAATTTTTACGCCACCTCCAAAACCTGGCTGACTCTTCCATTCCGGAAACATTATTAAAGATACTTTGGATGGGCCGCCTACCAAAAAGTATACAAGTGGCGTTAACAATAGTTAAAGATAGTAAGCTTGAAGAACTCGCTGTCCATGCAGACAACATCGCGGATGCATCTGGTCCTTTGCTACCTCAAATAGCAGAGACATCGAGAAGTGACACTCTTGAAGCCATGTTGAATCTTAAAATTTCTCAGCTTACCTTGAGTATAAATCAGGAAATTGCGACGTTGAGAAGTGACGTGGCAGCGATCAATTCTCGTCCTTCGCGTAATCCGGACTCAAGACCAAGTACTTTCCGCTCAAGATCTCGATCTCGGAGCCGTACTCTCCATGGTGCAAATGGATTATGCTGGTATCATTGGGGTTATGGATCACAATCGCGAAAATGCAAGGAACCTTGTACCTATAATTCGGGAAACGTAACGGGTCATCACTGATAACGGCCAGTGAGACCAGTCCGCCCCGTACCGTCTATTCATTACTGATCGAACTTCTCAAACTTAATTTCTCATCGACACGGGTGCCGACCTATGTGTTTATCCTCGTAGTGCTGTTCCAGACCGACGAGTAAAATCCGATTACGTCCTATCAACAGCCAATGGCACGCCTATTAACACCTACGGTACTATCACGCTCAGCCTCAACTTCGGACTTCGTCGAGATTTCACTTGGAGATTTGTGATCGCGGAAGTACCCAAACTCATTATTGGTGTGGACTTCTTGAGTCATTACAATCTATTGGTAGACGTGCGTAATCAATGTCTTTTATACGGTGTTACACGACTCACCGCTCATGGTCACGTTGCTGAATCCTCCATTCCATCCATAAAGATTGTCGTGGGAGAAACGAAATACGACTGTTTACTACGAAAATTTCCCGAGATCACTCGACCATATGGAGCGCCTAAAGACATTAGGCACAGCACCAAACACTATATTCAAACGACACCAGGACCCCCAGCATCTTGTAAACCACGACGCTTAGCACCTGATAAGCTCAAGGCAGCAAAAAAGGAGTTTGAAGCTATGATCCAATTAGGCATTATTCGACCGTCCCAGGGACCTTGGGCATCACCATTACACTTGGTATTAAAGAACACAACGGACGCCTGACGTCCTTGTGGGGATTACCGTGCTCTAAATGCTTGGACTATTCCAGATCGGTACCCGGTTCGTCATATGCAGGACTTTGCACACTTTCTCCACGGTAAAACGATTTTTTCAACAATTGACCTAGTCCGAGCATATAATCAAATTCCTGTAGCTGAAGAAGATATTCCTAAAACCGCAATCGTGACACCATTTGGACTTTACGAATTCTTCTTTATGTCTTTTGGGCTTCGAAATTACCTTAACGAGATAATCATCGCATATTCTAGAACATGGGATTTCCCCTTATCCACTGACAATATTGTAAACAACCTGGACGGTTCGCGATGCGTTGTTCACGTCACCACAGTACTATATTATATTGGTATTTTAAATTAAACACTATCTAAGATCTATATAAATATATATATATATATATATATATATTTACAACGTACACAGGTTAATAATTATACATAAATTGGATTTTATAATTTTTTTTTTCTTTTGGTTTGGATTTACTGGTAATGGTGTTTTTTTTTACTGTAACTAATATGTAGATAATACAGGGCAAAAAAACACCTAAACGTGCGTTGTGCGTCACTACAGATTCTAGCTACCGCTAGTTGGTTATAACTAGAGACCGGATTTATATGCACAAAAAATCCTCAAAATATGCTTCTAAAAATGCTATAATATGTTATAAAATATGTATTTATTTTTAAATATGTACTTAAATATTCACTTAAAATGTTGTTTAAAATTATGTACAAATATATGAAATGTATTATAAATGTAAAAATAAGTATTTATTAATACGGTATTAAAAAAAGTAATAAAAGCTTTTAAAATATTTTGTCGTCAAGTCGACACTTGAACTCTATATTATTTATATATATATATATATATATTGTATATGACTATAATATGAGATTTGAGTATGTAATCTTATCTTTGGAAATTACGATCGGTCGCAATTTATCGATATTATGTGGCTTTGAGCGTGAAAATATGACGAAAACGAATATATGTGCTCTTAATAATAATATGCACTATAAAACTATAAATATGCATTGAATATGTATTTAATAGATAAAAAAGTTAAAATATGCAAAATATGCAAAGTAAAATTAGTGTTGTTTTAATAAGAAAGATCTAAATCGGGGACAATGCTCATCAGATTTCAAAAAGCTTATTCCAATACATATATGTGTTACGGTAAAAGATGAATATTGGTGAATGTCGTCATTCTCCGGTGAATGACGTCTTTTACCAAAATGATTCGATTATGTAGGTAAATGATGTAAAAAACCAGATTTTAAATTCAAATGTACATCTTTCACCGGTCATTGATGTCATTTACCAAAACTGGTGGTAAATGATGATAAATCTCAAATAATACACTGATTTTTTTAGTATAGGTACTGTTTATAATAATGATTTATTGTTAAAATAAAAAAATAATAAAATAATAAAATACGTGCATATTACAAATTATTTATTTGTACAATTTTGGTTACTATGAAATTTTGAACTGCACAACATTTCCACTGCATTACAAGCACATTTTTTAGTACCACAACCAATTTTGCAGTTGCATCGATTAAATCCTTGATGACCAGCTATTCCATGTCCTGCTGCTTCTCTTAATGTTATTTCCCTGTCTTAAATTTTTTTCATGGCTTCATCTAGCTCTAGAAATTTTTCTTTACATAGAAATATTTGTGATCATGTATATTTGTGTTTCAACACCCCGTATTCTGTCATTTCTGTCACAAATTTTTACAAATAATATTATAAAACACACATTCGTAGCAAATACAACTCGCTATAATATACCCGTCGATACTAACTAATAAACTAAAAGATTATCTCCCATTATTATTCAGGTTATCGACGTTATTGCTAGTTGGGATTTTCGTTTATAAAAGTATTAAACATCATTCTCCAATTAAACTGGTGATTGACGACAATAACCGGAGAATGTCTGTATTTACAACGTTTACCAATTTTTAGGTAAATGATGTCATTTACTGGGGAATGACGTCTTTTACCACGTTTACATCATTCACCGCAACATATGCATTTGCATATAAATCCGATCCCTAGTTATAGCATTAAATTAAATATATGTGATGAGTATACCAATATAAGTGGTTGGTAGGTATATCAATAAAAGGTACGGGAATGTTTTGTTTGAGGTGGAGATAAAACGATATAACTATGATCACGTGCAAACTAGTTTCAACAAAAGCGATACGGGTTATTAATTATTGCCTTTCTACAAACAGGCATTTTACGATCCTCAAACGCATTAACAAATTCATATTTTCCAAACAATTTAATTAATAATATGTGTGTGTGTGTGGGTGTTATAATGTTATTTTGTAAATAATTCGTAGATCAAACATTGATATTAATGAAATTTAACTAACGAGGTACATCCTGATAACAGCGTCGTTAATATGACATATTTTTCTCGATACGCGCATGTACTTGAATATGAATATTGCGATATACGTTTAAAAACATTTTTTCGAGATTTTTATTTTTATAATTCTATAATTCTTGTACACATTTTGTATCGGAAGTTATAACTGCTTTTAGGAACTCTTAACGTTTTCATAAAATACTTTTTTTTATAAATAATAAACCTATAATAAACCTGAATAATATATTAATTACATGAATATATGATTAATAATTTTGCCTCGGGATATTATGATCGTGAAATAATAGTAGATTTTAGATGATTTTAAATTCAATGGACTTAGTTAAAAGAAGTAGCTATAGTAAGTACATATTACATACAAACTTAATGTTTATGAATAATATGTATTTAATTAAATCTGGTATCCAGAAATGTAGGGTAACATATTTTCTTTTTTACTTGCTTCAACATGCCGTCATCACTTTTTTTTTTTTTAGAGAGAGCGATGAACACGGCTAATTTACTTTGACTATTTTACGGTATTCATTTTCAGACAGACTACATATTAATTGATTATGACAACTACTCGTCTATTGATGAGGCAATTACAATTATTTTGGAAATTTCAAAATACATTTAAACAGGGAACCAAAACTGGTTGCAATTTAGTTTGGAAACGTTGAGTACCTGAGAAAATGTTGAAACCCAACTAACATGTGAACTGGGTTTTCTACAAAATCGAAACCCGGAGAATAATTAAATCAGATTTCCCATCAAACCCGGTATTCCTATTCATTAAAATGAATTTTAAAATGTTTAACCATGAAAATTGTGAACTAAATTTAAGTGAATAAGCAGATAAAAGATATAAAACTACGTAAGTGTTGCAATTGCACGTGAGAGTGAAATTTTCGATTTTAATAAAATACGAGTCATGACCTACAAAATATTAATAATAATAATAATAATAATAATAATAATAATAATAATAATAATA